GCCTCTTCCAGACCCTCTAGGACGTCCACGGCCTCGTCCTCGTTGAACCGTCTGAGTTCCAGTACCAGAAGTACTTTGTTCACCTTCAGCTTGGTTTACTTCAACTTCACTTGTATCCTTTGATGTGGACTCGATCTCAGCCAAACGGACCTTTTTGGCTGGTCGCTCTCCATACAGCAGTAATCCTCTATTTAGGTTCTTTACAGCATCTGCCAACGTGTCGCTCTGTGCAAATGCCAGTCTTTCCGCCATGTGGCTATCTGCTAAGCCTTTGACGAAAGCTGTCACTAATGCTTCTTGTAGGTCTTCCTCATTGTGTGTGACCATGTATTTTCTTCCCACATGCTCGACTTGTAGAGCGAAATCTTCTAGCTTCTGATCTGGCCCTTGCTTCAACGTTTCAAAATCTCGCTTTCTCTGCCAAAGTGACGTTACAGCACTGAATGTTTTTGTCAAAAGAGCATCCAGTTCTTGAAACGTTGCTTCTTTTCCTTGCTGGTCTAGCATTGGCAAGACCATCAAAGCCTTTCCTCGTAGAGCTGTCACGAGCTTCTGACTCTTCTCTTCTTCTGTCATGTTCTTTGTAATCTTGTTGAACTGTGACCTCCACAGCGTATAGCAATGTTCTCCATCATATTCTGGGATTCTAGTACTCTCTGTAGTGGGTGCTGGGCGCTGTTGTTGTACACCCTGATTTTGTTGTTGCTGTTGTTGATGTTGTTGTATCTGCTGCTGCTGCGTGTTCAATATCTGAGTTAGGACATTAAAGAGAGGCTGCATTGCTTGTAGTCCTTGCTGGAATCCATGACCCAAGTTGTCGCCGTGCTCGCTTGCTTCCTCGTCTTCATCGTCGTCGTCGTCTGCTTCCTCGACGTGACGCTGGCGCAACTCTCTTGCTTGTCCTTGAGCAGCTCCGCGACCTCTGCCTCTACCGCGGCTAGGGGTCATCCATAAAGTACGTCCGCACTCGAAGGGGGAGGGGGAGGTGGCCAAAGGCGGACGTTGGTGGACGTGGGAGAGGAGGGGGGGGGGGTCCTAGGTGGTCGGACGTCCTACTATTATAAGAAGAAAATTAAGAAAAATTAGACAATTTGCGCCGTCTGTACGCGCGGCGCCGATGTCAGCGGCGACGGAAACGGAATCTAGTCATTTTTATTTTTATTTTCTGACCTTATTGTAATAACGCAGAAGGCTTCTTTTTGTGACTAAACACGCGTTTTTTATCAGTTTACCCCAAAAAAGCGATTTATTGTTGAAATTTGGAATACTTTGGTCAAAGTGGACGTCCGAAAGGGGGAGGGGGGGGTCGCCGAAAGCGGACGTTAGCGGACAGGGGGGAGGGGGGGGTCAAAATGACCGAAAAAAGTGCGGACGTACTTTATGGATGGCCCCCTAGGGACGGGCGATTTTGCGATTAATCGCAGGTGCGATGCGATTTTTTCAAAAAATCGCGGTGCGATTTCGGTTTTTGAACCTCGGCGATTAATCGCAAAATCGCAAAATCGCAAAAAATCGCTAAATCGCAAAAATCGTACCGTGCATGGATTTCGCGACCACTGCACCGAACGAGGCTGGCGCGTGTTGTCGGTGCCACTAGCCTGCCATTTGACCACTCAGGAATTTGTTTTGGCACTTTTTAAAAAGATTTTCTGCCATAATGGGTAGTATATAAGTATTGTTGCGTTTGTTTGCGATTTTTGCGATTCTTGCGATTTTGCGATTAATCGCATGAAATCGCGATATATGAGAAATCGCAATCGCGATACTAAAATTTGGAAATCGCCCGTCCCTAACCGCGGCCTCTGCCTCTGCCACGTCCCCTTCCTCGGCCACGCCCTCGGCCGGCTTCTGGTGCTTCGGGTTCTCCTGCAGGCTGTCCCTCTTGAACATCAAACCCTTCAAATCCGGGCAATCCGGGTCGGCCTGCGCGAGGCGGGACTAGTCGAACTACCGCGTCGGGTTGCTGCGGCGGCTCGTTTTGAGCAGGACCAGCAGGGCCTGGTTGATCTTCGTCCATCGGATGCGGCAAAGGTCCTACGTGTGGATCGAAGAAGTCACGTGCTGGTTGTCTGAAAGGCTGCATAATACAGCGATGTCTTGAGAACTTGTGTTTTCTTTCTCGTGTACTTCCCCTGAAATTCCTTTGACCTAACGACGGTAACTAGCGCGAGCGAGCTCTGCTTTCAGTTCCGTCCACTCACTCCGTGTCTTAACAGCACGTTTTTACCAACTGCTTTCGTTAATCCACCTCTTTCAAGTTATCCGAACAGCTCTTGTGCTTACGTCTGAAACAGCGCACTCCTGAGTGGTTACGTTTCAAACAGCTCCAGGCTTACGTTCGTCTAACCCTCTGAAACTGTCAACTGATCAGCACAAATACTAGGCTTACGATCAGTCAACCCAATTGCTCAGAGAAGTGTAGGACTGCACAGACTGGTAGTGGCTTACGCTCCTCAAGGAAGCAGCACGACTATCCAGCCAGGCAATACCTCCTTACACCTCCTATAGACTACTCAATCACACAAATCGCTCGTCACACTCTCGTCCTCCTTCAAAAACGTAGGGAAAACCCACGCAATATCGCCAGTTTAACCGCTGTCACCACTTGTAGTGTAGGGCACTAATAGTGATGAGGAACGGATAAGTGACGAGAGAGAGTAGGGATTCACTGGTTTATTAGGGAGGTGCGCACAGACCGAGACCAGGCTACAGACTGTTGACCGGCGCTGAGGCCCGATCCAATTTATAGTCTGGGCAACAGTGACACCTTGCTTGGTGGGTGAGTTCAGAAAGAGGAGTATTGTAGGGCCTTGGCCAAGAGTGAGGGAAGCAAGCCAGAGAGGGGAAGAAGACAAGAAATAAAAATACTGACTGACACTTGTTTAGCTCCTTTTTAAACCGTCAAATCTCTACACTTTCATAAAAATTAACAGCAGATCCCAATTAAAACTAATATCAGGTCAGATGAAATAAACATCATAGTTAACATCATACCGACAGAAAATAAGTAGAGTGTAAACAAATGAGATCATCACAAATCACACTTGAAATCATACTAACTTCAATACATCAAAATCACACTTAACATTGAACTTAACTTTAAAACATCAAGTCATCAGATGCAACAAACCAAGTGTGGAAAACACATTCAAAATATCACTAGGCACTAAATAAAATTTAAGGTATAAAATACTATAATTGAATTATTTACAAATCAGTGGGTAGAAGTTCACATCCAATAATCAGATGCAACAGATTAATTGTATAATACTCTCAAATCAAATAACTATGAATAAATCAATTAGTAGAAATTCACATAAACTCATCACATGCAACAAATTAATTGCATAAAACACTCAAATCAAATTGTTATGTACAAATCAATAGGTAAAAATTCATTGGGTTTAAATTTGGGTATATACAAACGAAATGCCAAAAAATGTACAAAGCGCCTACCACTATCCGAATCATTCGTGGAAAAATTTAAGGCTTACATTAGCGTAACAGTTTCCTCTTCATTGACTGACAAGTTGAGCTTCCGTTTGGTGGGCTTCTTTCTTCTGGGCAGAGGAGAGTCATCCAACTCATAAGCAGCTGCTTCTGTGTTGGCCCCTCTGCGTTTAAGGGAGAGGCGACCTTGAAGATGGAGAGAGTTTTCATTGCGAAGATATTGATCTACAGTCGGGTTCCTATTACCACCCTGGGACGCCCTCTGCTTTGAAAAGTGTTGTTCCAGTAGATCTTGGCAGAATACTCGTCCCATGACATAGTGAGTACCTTCTCTCAGCAGGAACTTAATGCACTCTGGGATGGATTTGCATATCAGTTCCCAAGCATTCAGAGTTTGGATGGAAAGTTGCATGGCCTTCTTGTCTTCCTTCGATGCTCCAGGCAAGGCCTCCACTTCTCTCTTCCACTCTTCAAAATAGCGCCACTTCTCCTCATATTCTTCCGAGGGGGTATTCACTTCGAAAACTGGCGCACAGAGTAGTCGCTATTACGCTTATTACAATTATTACGCGTTATTACACATTATTTTACATTATTACACATTATTTTGCATTATTTTACATTATTACACATTATTACAGGATTATTACAGGATTATTACAGTCATTATTACGGTCGTTTTTGACCGAAAGGGAAGCCCAGCACCACCTTGCCCCCCTCCCGTGTTCGCCATTCAACTGTAGTTTTTCATATTACAGAATGCTGTTACTTACATGCTACTAAAATTTTAAGTTTGTTTGAATGGGCAGAGAGATTCCAATGGATTTTTTTTCCAATACCTCACCTTACCGATAGGATTTCTAAAGATTTTCAGGAGAGCATGATTTTACTATTTTGTCCAATAATCAGCAGAGGAATTTTAACCAAAATTAATTTTATTCTAAATTTTGTTTCATATTTGTTGTAAGGGTGTAACCAAGAACAGTGAGTTTCAATGAAAAAGCTGCGTACGGATAGTAAACCCCTCACTCAGCTTTTCTATGAGCTTTCTCTTTGTTTCCTTGAGAAGTTTTTTTTTTCTTTTTTTTTTGAGCTTTCCCGCAGCGGCAAATATTTTTGGCAACCTTTCTTGCTCTGATCCAAGTGTGCGCAGCCTCATGAAATCAGCCACTCCACCGTGCCGTTTCCCGCCAACATGAACATCGGGGAGTGGGGGGAAGGGGTAGGGAAGGGTAGGGGAAGACGGGGGAAGACAGAAAGGATGGCGGGACCACCGGAAGGGTAGAAAATATTGCTGCACAGAGTAGCAAATTAAGACCACTTTCATTTTGTAGCCAATATGTGCCAAAATTTCAGTACAAAATGCGTACATTACGCATTATTACGTGTTATTACACGTTATTGCACATTATTACACATTATTTTACATTATTTTACATTATTTTACATTATTTTACATTATTACACATTATTACGCGTTATTACCCATTATTACAGGCATTATTACGGCCAAGGTGAACAGACTATTACAGCAGTGAATACCCCCTCGTATTCTTCAAATCTGGGATCCTGTACACTCGTGTATGGCTTAAATCTAGGCTTTTGGCAACGGACCCACTGGTCTTTGTAGGCTCCGTTGCCAAGATCAAAAAGTTCATTAGTAGTTCTTAAAAATACTCAGTTCTTTAGTCTGTGGCCAGCCCATTAAATCAAGCTTGCTGGACACAGAATTACTCACTACTCGAGCTGCATAGGGCACACTCATTCTAGAATAACTATTTAAATATACACATGCAGCTGTCAGTCTGGGCAGACTCTTGATTGTCTGCTCAGACTTGAACTTGTACAATCTAACGATAGGTTTCCAGGTCAAAGGTTCACCATTCTTCATAAGTTTGCGAGACTTCTTTCTTCCAGAATTTTCTAAACAATTTCATGATCATGATCAACAATAATCATGATCAGTTGTTGAAGGTTGAGAACCCTATGAAGAAATGGAGAGAAAAATATTAGTTTGGCTTAAGATTCAAACAAGACACCTCCTGCACAGCAACAATGCTTACAATTTTAGAGCCGTAATCATGGTCCAGGTTGAAAGGGTTTGCTTTACTTTCCAAGGGGATGGGAACCTGTTACAACATGTTGAAAACAACAGATTGGTTTTTTTGAGGGGGAAAAAGGCAAGAGTTACTCAATAGCTAATAAGAAAAGGGCTTACATTATGCTGAGAGGTGTGGGAAGTGGTGAATGAAGGGCTGTCACGGTCTGTTGTTGCTTCACAGTCTGAGGCCTGTGGGGAGGAAACAAGAACAATACAAATGGTATAGCACTTAAACGAGATCAAGACAGCCACCTCGAAACAACACTTACGGTTTCGGCTTCATGTTCAGTTGTTTCCTCAACGCCTAGAACTACCTCAGCAACTTCAATTACCTGAGTGTCAGAGATAGAGACCTGCTGGAAGAAAATAATCATGGATTAGAATCTTTGGGCCCAATCAGTGTTTTAGTAATCAACGCTGATAGGAGGTGCTGTCTAACATACTTACTTGTTGCCTTTTACGCTTCCAGTACGATAGAGGTCTAAACCGCTTCCTCACTGATTTTTTGAAGGGAAAGAGGCTCCTCCTCTTCTCCTTCCTCTGGCCCGGCTTGCCCGGCATAATCCTGCAAGAGGATGAAACATAGACACTGAAGGGACATTTGCGACTAGCGACTAGGTTAGGTACAGCCTTATTCGATCACTTCTGGGGGATCGCAACTGAAAATTTGATGCGGAATAAATTTGGAGACCAAAGTGTGTTACAGAAGTTTTAAAAACATGCCACATAGGCCGATACGAGGCCAGAAACAGCCAAAAAGACCCAGTAATTATTGCAGTCAGAAGACGAGCTGGTCACAGCAAGGGTCAGAACTTTAACACTTTACGAGAGGAAAAGGCACGTTTATGCACATTTAGAGAACTCAAATACAATCTTATGATAACAATAATGAACGCAGTGGAGCCATAATTATCATTTTCTTACCTCACATGCCGAAAATTTCATTTCTTATCAAGTCACTCGTCGGGTCGGGATGTTCTCCGAGCATTGCCCACTATGCTTCTACCGGAAAGGGCACGCCGGAAGCCTCGCGACGGCGACGGCGGCCATGTTCTATTGAGCAGCTCCAGACAAAAAAAACACTTGGCCGGGGACCCCCTCAGATCTGGCTCCCTCCCGGTATTTTTGGTTCCTCTAGTGAATACGAATTGCCGAAACACAAATTGGGCCGGATCCAACACCGATTGGCTTTTTGGTAGAGGTCAAAAACCCCTAAAAATGGCTGTTTTTGAGGGTTTGGGGCTTTTTGGGATCCCGGAACCTGCTGGCCAAAAAATCTACCAAGGTGTCGTTTCCGAAAGAAAAAAGTGCGATCTTTCGAATGCCGGGTCGCGCGAGGCTCTGCGACGTCGAGTTTGGACGCTACGGGCTCTCAAAGTTGCTGAATTTCACTATTTTTACTGAAGATTTGAGCGTATCAGGGCCGTTCGAAGCAGACCATCGGGGATTTCGCTCCTCTTTGGCTTAAATGGTGCCTACCCATAGGTAAACACCCCCACAAAATTTCAGCCATCTCAGGCAATTATTACAGGAACTGTGAGCAATTGAAGTTATGGGTCATTTTACCACTAAACTTAGGTGGTTTTGGGTCCAGAAAAAATATTTTTTTCAACTATCTCTATTTGATCAGCACCTCTTGGAACGTATTTTTAACATGGTGCCTCAAAACATTTTTTTTTTAGAATAAAGTTGAGAAACCTAGTTTAGTTATTTGGACTTTATTCTCAAAAAAAATGTTTTGAGGCACCATGTTAAAAAAAACGTTTCAAGAGGTGCTGATCAAATAGAGATAGTTGAAAAAAAATTTTTTTTCTGGACCCAAAACCACCTAAGTTTAGTGGTAAAATGACCCATAACTTCAATTGCTCACAGTTCCTGTAATAATTGCCTGAGATGGCTGAAATTTTGTGGGGGTGTTTACCTATGGGTAGGCACCATTTAAGCCAAAGAGGAGCGAAATCCCCGATGGTCTGCTTCGAACGGCCCTGATACGCTCAAATCTTCAGTAAAAATAGTGAAATTCAGCAACTTTGAGAGCCCGTAGCGTCCAAACTCGACGTCGCAGAGCCTCGCGCGACCCGGCATTCGAAAGATCGCACTTTTTTCTTTCGGAAACGACACCTTGGTAGATTTTTTGGCCAGCAGGTTCCGGGATCCCAAAAAGCCCCAAACCCTCAAAAACAGCCATTTTTAGGGGTTTTTGACCTCTACCAAAAAGCCAATCGGTGTTGGATCCGGCCCAATTTGTGTTTCGGCAATTCGTATTCACTAGAGGAACCAAAAATACCGGGAGGGAGCCAGATCTGAGGGGGTCCCCGGCCAAGTGTTTTTTTTTGTCTGGAGCTGCTCATTGCTGTTTCACTCCAACGATTCTATGATACCTGGTGACACGGCTTTAAAAGGTCCTCAATTTTTTCACCAGCCAAAAACTAAAAGAAGAGCCACGTCAATGTCTTCCTTATTTTATCATGGTTATTTGGAGACAAGCATGTAACCTTTCGACTTACGGCAGAACCCGTAATTCGTTTAAGAAGGTGGCCACCACCAAACCTTGCGACTCCCTATATCTGTGACTCCATGGTCAAACTACTTAACATTATCTTCATCTTCTCTGTTCGTCTTCTTCTTTTCTTCATCTTTTTTATCTTCCTCCTCCTTCTTCTTCTTCATTTCTTCCATTTTTGACTTAAGTCTTGCCAGCCGGTGGCAACTCCCATACCGGCGCTGAAACCAGGCTCCGCTTGGATCCCCCACCCCCCACCCCCGCCCACTCAGCCTGGTTGCCTGCTCGGGAGGTCACCTTCGTTTCTATAAAGTTTACACAAGGTAGGTTTACGCCAGACCGCGTCTTGTCGTAACAGGCTTCGCGATGTCTCGCGGCCTGTTCCTCCAATCCGCGCCTGCCGTACCTACCTTGGCCTGCGGCGCTAGCCTGCCTTCGGCAGGCATTGGCTTGTCAATCGTCGGTGACTTCTAACTTGCATACTGGGGGGCTGCCCCCCTTTATTCTAGATAGAGTTGTTTCATCAACAGATATCACAATCTTGATCCTTGTAACTTTTTAACTTGTCCTGGCTGGGGGCCCCGCCCCCCAGACCCCCCTTCCTTCAACACAGAAGTGATCTGCCTGCAGAAGACTCGATTTTTCGCCGTTTTTTAAGTGTTTTTCGGCTATAAAAACTGAACCACGTGAGCTAGGATAGTGAAATTTCGCGTGTGCCGAGCCAAGAATATACCAAATAAGCCTGCAAAATCTCACCGAGATCGGCTGAGCCGTTCAGGAGGAGTAGTGTACACACACAGACACACAGACACACAGACAGACAGACAGACAGACAGACAGACAGAAAAACTTTTCAACCCCACTGGAGTAACAGGCTTCGCTATCGCTCAGCCAAAAACTTGTAAATCTGCTCCTAAGAATCCATCTTAGGCACCTATACCAAGGTTTAAACATCGGGGAAGACGCCTGTAATAGTTTCGAGCGCGAAAATGTGACGGAAAGTATTGTATTAAGGTTTGGGAGATAATGGTGGCGCAGCGCCAGCCCGCTCAGTCTCGGCATTTTCAAAGAAACGAGATGTTATTTGGCATTTTAGACCCAACACCAAAGCGAGCCGATTATTCCTTGCACATTTCTCTATCTCGTCAGCGTGGTCCCATCAATCTAAGGCTTGCCTGAAAGGTTTCGTGCGTGTTTTAAGATGGGACGGGAAAATGGCCTCCGGCAGCAGTCTCCACTTCAGAAGATCAAACAACATGTAAAATTCAATATTCCTGCCTCAAGAATGACTCTAGGCAATGTAAAATTTTATACAGAATCGAATTCTGGTGCCAGTTTTTTGAAATAAAGGCGGATGGCAGAAATTAGAACAGATTACTGTGGCACTGCGCCCGAGGGCCGAATCAACGACGTATTTCCCGAGTCTTAATGTGAAAATGCAGGAGCCACCACACTCGAAAGGACGCTTGAAATCAGCAGTTAAAATGCAAAGCCTTGGTATTTTCCAGGTCTCGTTACAGCAAACTCCCTGCAAAGATTACAGTACCTTTCAATAAATTCCAGCTGCCATTCACTCCTTTGAATCTCTTCGCCTCCGTGTCGTCTGCACCGGAAGCCGCCGAGGTATGAAAATTTCACCGCTCGGATTCTGCTTGTTTGTGTTTGGGATGAACGGTTGGGCTGCGTTGGCTGCGTTTGTTAGGGTTGGTGGTGGTTCGTAGTTCGTGCTGTTGCAGAGTGCTTGTCAAACGATATTATTCTGTATTACAACACGTGCCTAACTGGTCTTCAGTGTAAAATGGAAGAAAAGGGCACAGATTCTCAGGTTTGTTTTCTTTGACTCATGGCATGTCTATTTTTGTGGGAAAACGTTACATTCGCTACGTTTGTTTTTGGCGGCTGCATGTCTGTGGTACTGAATCTTTTTACGAATTAGTTTCAATTTGTCTCTAAGTCTCCTTTGTGTACTGTTGCAGGACGACTTCGTTCCAAAAAGGAGGAAGAGTAGGAAAGGGAATTTGTCATTCCGGAAAAAATATTCCTGGAGGGTTAGTTTCTGATTCCAAGCCACCCCTTTTGCATATTCTATTTCATAGTTTTGAGTACTTGTAGTTGGGACCTGGTGGTCTGCCTCTTGATTAACTGATCCTTTTACCTCTTTCCCATCTTTTTCAGAGTTCATCTTCTGCTTCTGAACCCATGGATTCAGACATGGTATACAAACAATTTCACTGTTAGTTATGCTTTTGATCCTCGAATGGTTGTTTGTATAAGTAAGATTTTGTTCACCTATTGCAGGAGAAGCCACACTGTGAGAAATCGTTCCATGAGGAACATATTTGTTCTGATGATGATGAATTTTCTGGACTTTCCACCACTCCTGGGGTATCTACCACTACTGAAGCTTCGGAATCTGAAGAGGTAATGTTAATCATTGGAAGGAAATCACCTGTTATACTGTGCATGCAATTGTAATACCCCCTCCTTTTCTTATTGCAATGATTTTAACTGAAACAGTTTTCTAAAAGGCTCTTTGTCTTAAGGTCCCTGTGGTGAAAAAAAGGCGCAGGCGCAAGAGGAAGCGCTTTCTTTCTCACAGAAAGATCCAAAGCACCAAAAATGTAGGTCTAAATGAAAGAAAAAAAAACCTATTTGTTGTTTGTTTTGTTTTTTATGAATTAATTTCTATTTAACAGGTTGGCAGTGTAACAATAGTTGGCAAAAGTGGTGACACCAGTGAAACATCTGATAGTACGGATCTCTCTGATTTAGAAGTTTGTGAACTGGATGAGATACTATGCTCAACCAATGTAGAAATACAAACCTTTAGCAACAGTGCAGAGGTAAAAAAGAACTCTCTAATATAATAATAATAATAATAATAATCAAGGTGCAAATATTCTGTTGGAATTTGGGAGTGAAGTTTATCTGTGGTAGAATCTATGTGAGTAATCGTTTTCAAATTGTTGCAGCATCCTAGCACTGTTTGCTCTAGCACTGTTGATCGAGCTCAAAATAAGGATGATGATCAAACACTAAGCAACACTGCAGATGTAAAAACAACCAATGTAGAAAGAGACCACAACAAGGATGTGCAACAAATTGCAACCTGTAGCAACACTGCAGAGGTAAAAAAGAACTCTCTAATTTAATAAATATATAATAATAATCAAGGTGCAAATATTCAGTTGGAATTTGGGGGTGAAGTTCATCTGTGGTAGAATCTATGTGAGTAATCGTTTTCAAATTGTTGCAGCATCCTAGCACTGTTTGCTCTAGCACTGTTGATCAAGCTCAAAATAAGGATGATGATCAAACACTAAGCAACACTGCAGATGTAAAAACAACCAATGTAGAAAGAGACCACAACAAGGATGTGCAACAAATTGAAACCTGTAGCAACACTGCAGAGGTAAAAAAGAACTCTCTAATTTAATAAATATATAATAATAATCAAGGTGCAAATATTCAGTTGGAATTTGGGGGTGAAGTTTATCTGTGGTAGAATCTATGTGAGTAATCGTTTTCAATTTGTTCCAGCATCCTAGCACCGTTGACCAACACATTCCAGCATTTTCATCTTCATTCACCTTTGAAAGTGTGAAGTCAGCGTCAGGCAAACTACTGCCTGATCCTAAAGTACCTCAAGTAAGGCTACTTGTATTTATTTTTATTATGCTTATGTTGTGTAACTTTTTCTTATCTTCTTGTTCTTTACCCGTTTTTTTTACAGGCTATCATTCTTGCTTTGCAAGAAAATTTAAAGCTGCTGCTGCCAAATGTTTGGACTGTTGACGTACAAGATGGGACTTTATTGAGAATTATGAGACTCGCCACCAAGAAAAATGCCAGTGTTGACTGCACTGTTTACTATGATGGAATGGACAAGAGTGTTGGCATCTTTGTTCATAATGTGCCAGTGTCTCCTGAAAACCGTGTTTTCAAATGCAACACTGTTCCCGATTCAGACAATGTTGGCAGCTTAGCTGATTTCCTCAGCGAACTCATCATGAGAGTAGACCTTATGAAAGTTTGTTGTGGAATTAGTGAGCATGAAGATCTGTGGGATACATCAAGAGGGTTTATTGATTACTCATCACCATCACCACGTTACAGAAGTGGATCCTGTCATCTCCTGGTTAAACGAAGTGCTGATAAATGCCAAGACTGTCAAGCAGAACTAAAAAGTCTTGAGAGAGAAGTAAAGAGAAATCTAAAGAAAACGTCCAATACAGACAGTTCTCAAACTACAAAATCCAATATCGACAGCACTCCTGACAAGTATCTATCAAATGAGAGTCTGATAGAGAAGAAAAACTTCTACAGGAACAAATACCGGTTAGAAAAACAAAAAACAAAAAGATTGGAGAAGAAACTGGATAAAGTAAAAATACAATTAGATGCTGCCTTGAGTGATGAATTGTCCTCCATTTTGAATGTGCATCAAAATAAAATGACCCCTCTTCAGAAGTTATTTTGGGAACAGCAAAGAAGAGCTCTATCTTTAAACGATGCAAGGGGCATGCGTTGGCATCCCATGCTTATTCGAATAGCTTTGCACTTGCACTCACTCTCAGATGGTGCTTATAAATTTCTGGGTGATTCAAAGTTACTAATGCTACCCTCAAAGCGGCGACTCTATGACTACAGTCATTTCATAGAACCACAAGAAGGCTGCCAAGAAGAATTTCTACAGTCTATAAAAGATAAAATAGAAAAATGTGGTCCTGAAGAACATTTTTTATATGTGAATCTCATGTTTGACGAAATGCACATAAGGTCTGGCCTTGTAGTGAGGCGCTCAACTGGGGAGTTAATTGGGTATACAAAGCTAGATGATTGTGAAGAAGAATTGAAGAAAATGCAAGATGACATTGAGTCCAAGAAGTACAAGCCACAGCTTGCCAAAAAAGTATTAGTTTATCTTGCAAATGGTATCACCAGCACTGTCAAAGATGTTGTGGCTATTTATTCTACTGATATTTTGTCGGCTTCCCATTTATATGAACGTACTTGGGAAGTCATCTACAATCTAGAAGATGCTGGAATTAGAGTGCTCTCATTGACTTGTGATGGAGCTTCAGTGAACAGAAAATTCCTTCTCATGCATGAGTCGCTGGACAAGAAGTCAAAATACACCTTTTGCACGAAGAATTTAGCTGCTGGTTCAAGACCTCTTTTCTTCATCTTGGATCCGCCCCATCTTCTCAAAACAATTAGGAATGCTCTGGGAAATTCTTTCTCTCATAAGAAAAGCAGAAAACTTTGGAAGAATAATGAATATCTTTCATGGAAAGTTATTGAAATGTTATACAAATTGACTGAAGGAGACAAATTTAGGACTCACAAATTGACCAAGGCTCATATAAAGTTGACTAGCTTCAGCTGCATGACCGTTCTCTATGCCACACAAGTGCTCAGCAATTCAGTCGCTCAAAGTATTGAGGACCTAGCCAACCACAAGGAAATGGAAAACTTTCAAACTTCTGAGCTAGTTAAATTTATTAGATTAATGAACAGATTTTTTGATTGTGTGAATACCAAAGAAGATCAGGAAAATGAGAGTGAAGAAAAGGAACCTGAAGTTGAAGGTCAAGAGAAGGAGAGTGAAGAGACTGTTGAAATGCTCCAAGACAAAGCTCCCTACACCAGGTTAAATGACTCAAGATTCCAATTTCTTCAAGATGAGTTTTTGGGCTACTTTAATGACTGGAAAGATGACATTGATAATAGACCAGGAAATTTCTCTGATGCTGATAAGAGTCGAATGACAATAAGTCATCAAGGTCTTGGAGCTGTTGAAATAACTGTCCATGGCATTGTTGGAGCAATTCGTTACATGATTTCTGCTGGAGCACCGTCAGTCAGTGCCAGAGCTTTCAACCAGGATCCTATTGAACAGTACTTTGGTAAGGTCAGGAGAGCTATGGGTGACAATAACAACCCATTCCTAAAAAATTTCCACGATACCAGGATTAACTTGCATGCTCAAGGACTTGTTGCATCGGCTTCACAAAAAGGAAACACAGAGGCTCAGAAGAGGAAGGAAATTGAAATTGATGCAACACCTCTACCAACAAGGAAAAAACAGAGGAAATAAAAACAAATGTTAAAGTAAGCTTTATATTAAATTTTGCTAATTTTATTCAATTTGAAAGACAACATGTAGCATGGATGTTCTCCTACATTACATTTCAAATCTTGTATTTGTCTAATGGTAAAGCATATTGATCTCAAAATGTTTCTATTTAATCATCCTATGTAAGTAATACACAAATGTTTATAAGACATGTTAAAATAATACTTCAACAACTTTGTGAATGTTTCATTACTACTTTATATACTTGTGATATGATGCATATTTTTGTACAATCTCTTTGGCACTTAACATTAAACTTCAATCATAATTTAATATTCTTTTATTTGAACCTTAAATAACATTTAAACAATAATCTATTCCACATCTTCAATGTTAACATCCTTCTCAACATAATTTGTTTGAAGATGTTTGCGAAAACCAAATTCTGTTGCTCGCATTGCTCTTGATTCTGACCTATTCTTTTTCTTTTCTTCCAAGAGTAATGATGAACGGATGAAGGGACCAACCAGCTGTCTCATAAAAACCAGTGACAAATCTTCAGATAAAAAGTCATTTGTTAAGAAAAACCAGTGATCAAGTAATGCAGCAGATTCAATTACTTCTTCAACAACATTTTGAGTAGTAACTTCACCTTTAGAAACTTTAACTTGAGGTATAATTTCTAGCTCAATTGCAGTGAAAAAATCTGAAGCCCGCTTGCTTGGTGTAATGCAGAATTCTTCTCCAGAAAACCAATTTTTCTTCTCCAAGAATTGTGCTCTGGTGATGGGGTGTTGGCCATCAACAAAATTGGCAGCCAGACATTCACAATGGCGAGGGGTGTGTTTCTGTCCCTTTTTTAAGTAGTCTTGAAACAGACCAGCCAAATTCAATAAAAATCCCTTCTTCTCTTGATCGGTCATTGTAGCTACTGCTGGAGGCGTAACTATAGGCACTTCTTGTGTCTTAGCAATCCTCAATTTTCGTAAAACCCACACTTGAGTTTTACTAAGCAGCTTGCTGGCAATACGACAAATAAGACGACCAGCCAGAGCATTGCTAATTTTAACTGTTGGGCACACACACATCAGCTTTTCTTGCAGTTCAATATCATTATTGTTAAGAAAAGTGTTTAAACCTTTCTGATGGTCTTCGAATTGATTGGCAGGCATAAGTTTGGATTGAGTTTTAAATACCATACTGCAGATAAATTTACTTATCATATTGACAAGATCCCACCATGCCTCAGTACCCTGGCTATCAATAAATGCTTGAACAAAAATCTTTTTAGATCTGTCATAGCATGGTTCAATTAAAATATCAGCCATTATTTCTTTTATTACACCTTCCAGGGCTTCAGTTGTGAACTCTGATGGCTTCGGCATTTTCTTAAAAATCTCTGTTTGGAAACAAAGATATTTAACAAAGGAAATCTGAAAATATTTTAGTAAACAAGTGAATAAATGGAACTTACCTTTTAATTTGTGTGCAGCTCGGTGTTTTACAAAGCCACTTAAGGTGGTGAGTATACTTGGGCATTCTGAGCAAACAAATGATTGACCCTGCAACCAAAGATAAAAAAAAAAGACTGAGTATATTCGCCCAAATTGTGCGGTCTTGTAAAAGCCATTAAAAATTTATGGAATAATAAAGCTTGCACGTTTGAAAGACAAGTACTCTTACCCGAGTTGATGAGGCTGTTTCCCCAGCTGTTGCAACAGTGGAGCTAGAGCTAGGTGTAGCTGTCGATGTTGTGGGAACAGCAGGAACCTGTGAACCTTTGTGAGATCTTGTCATGTGAGTCTTCAGCCCTCTCACAGTGGGAAAAGATTTTGGGCAAAACGGACAAGATTGCTGGTTCTAACAGAGTAAAGAAAAAGACATGTTTTACGTTTGAAAATTTAGGGTAAACAGTGATAAGTCATGTCATTATTGTGAATACAAACATCTGACTCCGGAGTGCTTGGTGCAACAGGTGCAATGGGCTTCGCTGGTTCAGGAGCAACAGTGGCAGGGACTTGAGGTGAACAAGTCGATCCACTGCCACTGATGCCACTGAATTCCACCTGTGCCTCATCAGGATCATCAACATCATTGTCTTCAATGTCCGCAAACATGTCATAATCACTCATGATGCAGAAGAAACAGTCTGAAAGAAACAACTTGAATGAATCTTAGGACTACACAAAACTTATGAGTTATTTGTGAAATTACACTCTTGTTACTAAAGCTCTGAAACAAACAAAACAAATACAAACTGAAGCAAACAACTCACCAACACTGAAGACCAGTTAGGCACGTGTTGTAATACAGAATAATATCGTTTGACAAGCACTCTGCAACAGCACGAACTACGAACCACCACCAACCCTAAACAAACGCAGCCAACGCAGCCCAACCGTTGATCCCAAACACAAACAAGCAGAATCCGAGCGGTGAAATTTTCATACCTCGGCGGCTTCCGGTGCAGACGACACGGAGGCGAAGAGATTCAAAGGAGTGAATGGCAGCTGGAATTTATTGAAAGGTACTGTAATCTTTGCAGGGAGTTTGCTGTAACGAGACCTGGAAAATACCAAGGCTTTGCATTTTAACTGCTGATTTCAAGCGTCCTTTCGAGTGTGGTGGCTCCTGCATTTTCACATTAAGACTCGGGAAATACGTCGTTGATTCGGCCCTCGGGCGCAGTGCCACAGTAATCTGTTCTAATTTCTGCCATCCGCCTTTATTTCAAAAAGCTGGCACCAGAATTCGATTCTGTATAAAATTTTACATTGCCTAGAGTCATTCTTGAGGCAGGAATATTGAATTTTACATGTTGTTTGATCTTCTGAAGTGGAGACTGCTGCCGGAGGCCATTTTCCCGTCCCATCTTAAAACACGCACGAAACCTTTCAGGCAAGCCTTAGATTGATGGGACCACGCTGACGAGATAGAGAAATGTGCAAGGAATAATCGGCTCGCTTTGGTGTTGGGTCTAAAATGCCAAATAACATCTCGTTTCTTTGAAAATGCCGAGACTGAGCGGGCTGGCGCTGCGCCACCATTATCTCCCAAACCTTAATACAATACTTTCCGTCACATTTTCGCGCTCGAAACTATTACAGGCGTCTTCCCCGATGTTTAAACCTTGGTATAGGTGCCTAAGATGGATTCTTAGGAGCAGATTTACAAGTTTTGTAAACTTTATAGAAACGAAGGTGACCTCCCGAGCAGGCAACCAGGCTGAGTGGGCGGGGGTGGGGGGTGGGGGATCCAAGCGGAGCCTGGTTTCAGCGCCGGTATGGGAGTTGCCACCGGCTGGTCTTGCAATGGCTAATTCGATACCTAGTTCTTCCTCTCGTTTCCTCTTAGTAGCTTCGTCTTTGTCTTGGCGTTTCTTCTGAGCAACTTTAATTGCTGCGTCAAGTTCTTGAGGAGTCTGGATACATACAGAGAAATGATATTCTTTTTTTATTCTTATAAAAAACCATTTCATGAAGGATAAAAAATATTTCAGAACCTACCACATAGCAAGCTCGATAACGGACACTGGGTGTCCTTTTCTTCTTCTTCTTCTTGTCATCAGGGTCAATTTCAGGGGCATCAATCAGAGGCACCACTTTCGGCCCCAACCGAACAAATACGGACTGAAAAGAAAAAATTAGTTACAAAAGTTATTTCAACAACAAAAAAACAAAAATGATTAAATACAATTAGATTTTAAAACTTACTTTAGGAGATTCCAGGACAGGGGAAGGTGGAGGAGGAGGTGGTGGCACACTCACACTAGCATGAGCTGGAGAGTTAGCAGCGGGGGGATTGAGATTTATTTCTCGAAGCACTCCTCTCTCTTGGCCCTTTATAAACAAAACAATGTTTAGGTTTTCGTTTTTGTTAGTTAGTTAGTTTTTTTCCTTTAAAATGAACTTACAGTGTTGGTGATGACAGAGGGCTGTGTCCTCCTTCGAATAGTAGGGTCTCCCTGCAAGCGACTAGGAAGAATGTTTGTCCTCTCCGCACTAAAACGAGAATACCGTTCCTCTTCAACTTCTTCCGAGGTCTCAGGGGCCTCGATCCCTCGCGTAACTTCTTGAACAGAAGCGTTGCGACGAGGGCGAGAGTCGCGTGCTACTACCTCTGCTTCGTTGAGCTGAAACAAGAAAGATTCAATGTAGAATTCATTTCAACCCCTAAAGAAAACCTAACCTCTCGATCACTAAATCAAGCACGCGACTAGAGCGTTTTCTCGCAACGACACATTTTCCCTTTCATTCCCACTGACAGACGGATGATTTTGGCACAACACTTGTTCGTTTCACACAGGCAATGATAAAATCTTTGAAAGAAAACAACAAAAATTGCTGTGGCACGTAAACAATCCGCCATGACACCTCGCGACTGACTCAGCCCTGGGTGTGACGTCACCACACCTCCCCCCCGCCTCCTCATTTGCCGGCGCGTCGATTTGAAGTTCACTAACCAGGTTCAAAAATCAAACCTTTAACGTTCCGTCTCATTTGAGAGCCGGCACGCGTTCGCCCGGCGCGTACAAACTAAGACAACACAAGCAAATGACAGAAATTTCTTGACTCACGCCGCCAGAGGGAAGGACCACTTAACTCTGTTTTGAGTATTTCTAACGCGAATTATTAGGAATTTCGCACACGACTACCCTAACGAAGCGCCCCGAACACGATTCGAACCGATAACACATAGAATTTGCCCTCAGAAAGCGGCACAAACACAGAGACAACCCGGTTCCCACGCTCACATGGTGACGTCAACTCGCCGTTTTTCGACACTTATTGACCAAATTTTAATGAATTTCACATGCAAGCACCCTCGCCCAGCGCACGCAAAAAAATGTAAATCAGGCCCGTGCTAATTTTTTTGGCCCGTCCCGTTTATTTTTTGTAAAAAAATGACGGAGGGACGGGCATATAGTATGATCCCTGCTGTGCGTCCGTCCGTTCGTCCGAGGACTTCCCGTAGTCCGATCTTGACCAAATTTGGTTTGCAGCCTCCTTGGGTGACCCTAAGAACCGCCCGGTGGCAGCAAATCCGATCCAAGCCCCGGGGGCGCTGCTGCAGGTGCATCATGGTCTACATGGGGTCGAAGGGGATTTCGGCAACGGATACAGCTAGCAGGACATGTAGGGGTATTTTTGGAATCAGGTCGACGAGAAAAAACCAACGGTGCCAGTTTCAAGTGAATCGGAGAAGTTTGGACCCGGGTTCAAATCCCAGTGGGGTATATTTTCAACATTCTTTTTACTCGAGTTTTTGCATTGTTTCTGATGTTTTTGAAGGTGCTGATGACGAAAATAACATAAATTTGGACCCCACACTGA